TTCATGCAACAGACACCGGGTTACCGTATAGTTCTCGTAGATCTTTCATTTTAAACGACTCGGTCTTAACCGAGATGTTGTAATTAGAGTTGTCGAGGACAAGAGGACCGTTAGAATTATGAACGACACTTTCTTTCCCGTTTCGGTAGCAGGTAATTACGCATTTACACAGAGGCGAATACATTGCACGCGTGTTCGACTCTTCGTTGCCACCAATTCATCTCCATTATCGCATCTCCCGTTTACACGTACGTACCAATTGTTTTCCTCTCAATTCGAACGTGTGCCTCTTCAGTTTTATTCATTAGATAATTACATTACCTTTATCAAGATAAGTATTCGTGGAGAATACTTACACATATATACGTCCATGGTTTAGGTTAGGTTTAGGTTAGGTTAGGTTTGGACCTAACCTAATAGGGTGGACCAAAAGTTTCTTCCCACCTATTTCTTTCTTTCTTTTTCTTTTTTTTTTTTTTTCTTTAATAAAACTATAAGAAAGTCTGTAAAAAGTAAAACTATAAAATCAAAATATAAGGAAAAGTTAATTTCGCTATAATTTTTAAATTAAGTTTAAAATTCAAACGTGATTTCTTTCCCCCATTACGCTTTAACAATTATTTCTTTCAAATATTGAAACAAATTATTAGTCGGATTTATTTTGGTAGAAAGTGATTATACCTATATATAGTACCTGATGCTTTATAAATTGCGAGTTATTTAAATATACGTTCTTTGACGTATTCGTTTCAAATTAGAAATGAAGAGCAAGTCAAGTGTGCTTTCAAAGTTCAATTTCGAAAAACATGTGTTATATCGGTGTTTTATCGACGTCGTAACTCCTCCTCGAGTTCGAAATTTGTTTGACGTATATGTAGAATAACTCTGTCTATAACTATTTTTGTCGAACGTTAATCCATGCAAATATTAATAATATATATGACTTTTTTACAGTCGAAATTTATTGTACGTTCATCTTGATTGTCTATATATAGATCTGAAATTAAATAGGTATTATTGTTCGTACAAGATTCGCCATAGTTGCCAAATCTGACCATTCTTGTCGAGTCGGTCTTGTGTGCAAGTACAAGTAATAACACTTTATCTACGACGTTGCGTAATAAATGATTTGCATGTGCAAACGACCGAAGGTCTTTTGCGAGAAAATTGTCTGCAATTTCTGCATATCTTCTGTATCAAACACTTGTTAGTGCTAGCCAGTTTAGCTCCGTGTTTTTACGACAGTAGCCTTTAAAAACTAAATACCAGATTATCAAATTCTTAAGCTATAGAATCCGCGAAGTTTCAAATAGAATCGATAAACGAACGGAGGAATACAAATAAAAAAATAAACTATTGAAACAAATGTTAAAAATATTTTTAATCGCTTCAAGCTTCGAGGCGAAATTGGCAATTTTTTAACGATTTCTCATAAACGAGTGGGAAAAAAGCGGATACTCGGTAAAATAAAAAAATAAACTGCACGATGCATTTTTCACAGGAAGCAACATTTTTAATCACCCTTTAGAAGAGTGGACTGTTCTGGGTCTAAAAATTTTTTAATCACCGCTTAATTAACGAGCGTGATCTTCTCATGCGAGCCGGCATACACGGGATGCCTGGCGAATTTCTCGCTTCTTCTACTTTCTTTCTCCTCTAATTCTGAGAAGCCGGCCGTACGAGAGCCAAGTCTTTCTCTCTCTTTTATTCAGAATTACTTCGCAGAGAAGGAGAAAAACAGTGCGCAACTTTTTTGTACTTTCATCGCGTACATCGCGTTGGCAGAGTACACACCGAGAGGCAAACCGTGTAGCGAGGCGTTTGTGTGCGACGCAGTGCCTCGTGATAGAACGTTGACCCTGCCCATTTTCGCGGTCGAGAAATCCCTCCAAACAAACGTACGAAACGTAGAGGAACGCGAGATACAAAGGGCGACTGCTCAATCGCCGACGAAGCCGAGACACACGCTGGACAACTTGGCATTCGCCAAGTAATAATCGCGAATGATCAGGCCGTATGAGAAAATTACACTTTTTTTTTTTTCGAGGGATGCTCGTCGAGTGATCGTAATTTTGTGTGTGCAATCTTCGAGGATATTATAGAAATATTTATTATAGAAAGTGGCGAACTAACCTTTTCCCGGGGATGAGGCGAGAAAACGTGGACACCGTGTGGCGTGGCGAGGATCTCTCTCTCGTCGAGGAAGAAATCCAGCTGGTCGATTCCATCGGGGAAACCGATCCAAGATTCGGAGAGAAACGACACGAGATCGAGCTTCCTTCCACAGCGCGTTTGCCTCGATCGGCTTGGACGATCGGTGATGCGTGTGTGTACGAGGAGCCGGCACCTCACCGCGATACTAGCGAAACATTGTACCGGAAGGAAATATTTATGCCTGGCGCGGCAGCTCGAGGAGAAAAAGGCGCGGCGTGTTGTCTGCTTCGGTTCGGCAGTTGGACGTCGAGACGTCGTCGCATCGTTGTATCGCCGCCGCCGCCGCCGCTGCCGGGCATCGATGATCGAACTCGACGTTCACAGATGAGTGCTGGATGGAGACAGAAAGGACGGGGCTTCTTTCGTTACGAGGAGAGCCAGCATCGTCCATGTAAGCGGTCGAACGGTGAGAATGGCACTGAAGGGGGAGTTTGAGAATCGAGCGTGGCTGAATTTCCGGACGCAGGGAGGCGCGGCGGTCAGGATCAGCCACAGGTTGCGCTCGCCTCGTTCACGCAGGCCGGGCGGGCATCTTGCCTGATCGCCAAGCGAGGGGAGAACACCCTCTCTGCCTCCGGCGAAGCGACAGAAAGAGAAATCGATTAACTTAACATCCACCGCTATATTCTCTTTTTCATTCGGGCGTCCGTTTCGCGGCTACAGCCTTACCATTTCGATCCAGTTCTCCCGGCCCAGGCTTTCCTGCTACCCTATTAATCGCTTACATCTATCGCACGATATAGCAAGATACAGCCGGGGATGTTATGTCGCGGTCTTTCGTCACCGTTCACCATTTTAAATAATTCCAACAATTCGATCGGCCGATTTGCCAATTCTGGAAATGCACACGCTGGCTCACCACGATGACCATTAGCCTTCACTGACAAATTCTTTCGCATTACGCTCTCGAGTAGCACGAGATTTGAAAGTACGTGTCAAAAATGGTCCCAAGAAAATTTTTTTAGTATTACTTGGTAGCACGAGGTTGCCTCAAGATTTGAAAGTACGTGTCAAAAATGGTCCCAAGAAAGTTTTTAGTTGGGGCCATTTTTTACCTACATTTTTTGTACGCGTTCAAAATGGTCCCAAGAAATTTTTTGGTTGGGACCATTTTTGACCTACATTTTTTCTACGTTTCAAAAATGGTCCCAGGAAATTTTTTAGTTTGGACCATTTTTGACCTACATTTTTTGTACGTGTCAAAAATGGTCCCAAGAAATTTTTTAGTTGGGACCATTACTTGATAGCACGAGGTTGCCTCAGGGTTTGAAATTAGGTCCCAAAAAAATGTTTCCCAAAGATGATTAAAAAATGGTCCCAAAAAATGTTTTGAAGACTCATCCGTTTCAGACATTGTGCGATTAAGCAACAAATACACACAAATTGATCCGCATAAGATACCTCTGATAATGTTTAGCTGATAATTTAGCGACGAATTATGTAAAAAAATTTGGAGCAACGAATATACCGTTTCTTGCAAAAAGAGAAAGGCGTTCGATTTCTTCGAAATGTAAACGTCGATGCAATACAACGCTCGATCTCGAATATCCCTGACTACACTTGTACACACACAGTGGTCTATATTGTTGATTAAGAGGATCATTCACTGCAGAACGAATACAATTGTCCTTTGTACTAGCAAACTATTCCTAATAAAGAACCGATGGAATTGAAATATCGACAACAGGCAACGCGTACGCAGCACTTGAAATAATCGTTGCTACGTTCAATATTTGTTCATCTGTTTAAACGCACTTTTCTTTTATTTTTCTTGATGAAAGGAGCGATTAATAATTTCGATGATCAAAGCTGAAGCTACGAAGAAATTATTCATAGCACAATTGCCCTTTGTACCAGCGAATTATTTCTAACAAAGGACCGATGGACTTGAATATTATCAACTGATTGGACTGAATATATGCCAACATAATAATAATAATAAACTTTCGTTACTACGCACAAATTTATCATCGTACATGTTCAGTATTTCAAGTTCTGAAAGCCAACTGTGCTTCCTCTCGCGAAAGAAATAACTTTGATTATTTAAACTAGCGCGGAAACAGATGAAAATGTTTTCACTAACTACGAACGATTTTTCAAAGACGCACGCAGTCGCGCGTGATACTACTCTCGCTGGTAGTATGCCGGACGATGAACCCGTCTGAAACGAGATTTCGTTTCACTATTCGCGTTGAAAAATTATAGTAATATTCCAGAAAAAAAGAAAAAAAAAAAGGAACAATTAAAAACAAATGTCATTTATACGTCATTTATATTCATTTCGATACGTGATATTCACATGATGCAGTGCTCTGTTTTTCTTTCATACACAACAGCAAAATAAAGCTTAATCCATACATAATGCATGGTCGAAGCAACAAGTTGTTGCAATATTTATTCTTTTCTGATTTCTTTGATAGAGAAATCATGAATGATTTTTTTAAATATATATATATATATATATAT